GTGTGTGTGTGTGTGTGTGTGTGTGTGTGTGTACTTTAAATCAGCAACTAGTCCCCTCATACAGTACTCCTGATTACATTTAAATGTCAATAAATATTTGAAGTCCATATTTCTGATTAAAGCTGGATGGACATAAATGTATATAAAGAAGTCTGAGTTGTAAAAATAAGGATATTAGCGCTTATTAAATATTAACATCCTTTGTTAGCTGCATTACACTAATCATTTCTTATAGGTAGGCAGAAATATTTTGCCAAAAAGGATGATAGTACAGACTGTGTGAATAAACTCTTTTGAGCACTGATGGATCATTATGTAACCATACTGAAGGATGTGTCTAAAAGACTCTTTACTTAAATCTGGCCCGTTGGCCTTTCTCTGCCTTTAACTGTGTGTTTTGCAGGTCATCAAAGCAGCCTCAGAAACTGAGACTGAGGACGGCACCATGAGCGTGGTCAGTGTTCYGGTCGCTTCGGAGTTCTCTGTTTTCTGCAATGCTTCAAACCAATTTGGCTCAGATATGGCGACGTTCAACATAAAAATCAGTGAGTTCCTGTCTGCCGGCTTCCGTTTGCAAACCCCCCCCCCCCCCCAAACACAACAAACATCTCCTCCTGTCCCCCACCCCAGCTCGTCTGTGTGTAGTCTTGTTTGTTTTGCACTCGGTCTGAGGTTCAGTGATGTGTTGTAACGTGTCGCCTGTGATCTGGAACACTTTCCGGTGCGCTCTTGGCTCGGACAAGACACCGCAAAGCTGTTCGACTGTTCTAATGTTCGATGTTGTAATGTGTGTTGTGCCTCCTGTTTGTACCCTCCACCTGTTTTCAGCTATACACACCACCACACCAACAACCACACCAAAAACTACAACTACAACCACAACTACAACCACATCCACCATTCCTAAAGCCTCAGGTAAGACCGGCTTTTTAGCGCCGCCTGCTTATATCACTCAGGTCAGGAAGCAGACTGTCATTCTGTAGCTAGAGATATCCCAATACCAGCCGTTTTACAAGTACTCATACTCTCACTCCATTCAATGTGTTACACTTTACATTTCAAGTKAAAAGAAAASTTTGTCWGTTCCATGTTTACAAAATGTTCATTTAGCCAACAACAGGCTCACATCTGCATGTTTATGTTGTATTTATTTAGCTTTATTGTGCTGGATGTCTCAGTCAGACCTCACCTCACTTATCTACCCCACACCCATCTAACCATCTATATCTTAATCCAATGGTTAAGTATCTGTTTTAAGTTTTCCATGTCTTACAAGAAGGCTTCTTATGTACTGATTAGACTGTGCAGCTGCAAATAAAAAAAATCCCCTACAAACACAAACAAACATGAGTGGGACTGTTAGGAGGAGCTGATGCTTTAAAAGCACAGTCTGCTGACTCTCATTACAGGATGCTGTCTTGTGTTTTTCTGTCTCCGGCTCTCCTTTGCTGGCGTACATCATGGCCTCAGAGGGAATCTCTTTTTACTGCTCTCTTGTGATAGGAGTTTAAAAAAAGGGTCTACTCTGGGCGTAGACTTTTTTTTAAATTGTTGCTCACGGTTTCAGGTGTTTTGAAGTKGGGTTCTGTGGAAAGGCAGAAACATTTCATACAGCAGTTGTAGTTAGCTTTTTGACTGACTTCAGTTTGAAGAAACATTTTTCTCCAAACTGAGATTCACTTCAAAACACCAGTTATCATTTTGAAGTGCTTTTWAAAAAAACTTTCTGCCTGACCTGCTGGAATTAATTATTTACTTCCTAAGCTCACTAATTGTGTTTGTTTGTATTTTGTTGTTTTTTTTTTTCAATCACAACAGACGCACCCAACACATCAAAGAAAATCGTGAAAGGTTTGTATGTTGCATTATTGCGGATTCTCTCAGAAAGGCAACAAGCTTCCTTTTCCTCTGTATGATCTCTCTGACTCGCCCTCAGCAGACCTCCTCTCTGCTGCTGAAAACATCATCTTCACCTTCTTCTCTGCATGCTGTCATGCTGTTAATCCTTGTTTAGGTGCACCACTCCTCCTGCAGTCTTGGTAAACGTTTTCAGCCTGTGTTGCCAGATTAAGGTCACCTGAATGATGCTCTCGCACCACRATCTCTCTTTAGAAAACTCTGTCTCTATCTGTCCCACCTGCACCTCTCATCGGGTTCTCCTGCCTCCATCTGTCACCTCGTTTCAAACTGCACTTATTTATTCCTTTATTAATTTATTCTCTGCTTCTTCCCCACCAGGSAGCAATGGTGTTGTCATTGCAGTCATCATCATCTGCATCCTGCTTCTGGCCATCTTGGGCAGCGTGCTCTACTTCCTGTACAAAAAGGGCAAAATCTGCAACCGATCTGGGAAGCAAGACATGTAAGGAAATAAAGTACAATCTTGTTTCTTAAGCACACAGCATGCTGCAGCCGAGCTGCCGCAATCTGATCGGATTGTTGCAGTTTCGTGACAAAAACTGCGTCATTCTGTTCGCATTGCCGACATTTCTGCACGCTCTGATTGCAACCTGCAGGCCGAACGTTTTACCCCCCTCCACATAAGAACTTATTGTGTGATTGGTCAGAAGTTTGTGGGAGTGTTTGTTTATGCCGAAATACCTCAGACGCTGCATTTTGCTTTGACCGCTTGCTTCAAAAAAAAAAAAAAAAAAAAAACCTACTCGCTTCCAAAAGCCAACTTTTGTAGGCTACCAGGAAAAAGACGTTTATAAAGCAGCCAAAAACTCACGGATAGAGATAAAACATGTTGTGCACTGAGGAATCTGTCTGATAAAAACTGTGGAGCTTTAACCGTGACAGGTTTAAGCACAGATAACGTTGGGTGACGGGTCTCTGATTTTTTTCCCGCATTGTAAACTCCAGTGGTGCGCGACGGTGTGGCTTCTGAATAAATGAAAATGATTTAACACAGTTGTTCATACTTTTAGCAGCTCCTTTTATTCCACAGCTGACCTGCTAAAAATTATAGATTTTCTTTTCTGGATCTCTGACAGACGGACTTCAATCTCTGAACTCGTAAAGTTTTTCTTTTTAGTTTTCGCTGTCATTTTCATGAATGGACACTTCCTTGTATCTGAGGCAGGAAACATTGCCTTATATGGTGTTTTTGGGGTCGTAATTATGCTAATCTCCTCTCGCGTGCACGAGCAGCTGGATACGAACAGGTGGAATTTACGCAGCTCATTTACACACKTTTCCTGAAGATAGAAGAGTTTGTTGAATCTGACGTGACATGWTCGTACGAACCCTTTGTACGAACAAAAGTAAGAGAAATTTAGGATAAGAATAYGAACATGTTCTTGCATGAGGCCCAATGTGTCTCAGGRACTATGAAAGGTGTGTGCGAAAACGAACGCCGAACCATCATGTGACCGCGCGTCATCCAGTCGGCTGCTGAGTGACCATACTGCAGCCTTTAGCCTGACCTGAATTCTTGTCTGTTGGGTTTGGATCAGACTGGTGGCCCTCAAAGGGCCAGTTGTAATTCACTTTGACGTTTCATCTTTAACTTTGGCTTAGGAAATGTCAAGTTCGTCTCATTACTACAGCTGAGCAACGCTAACAAATAATAACTGAGCTCTACGTGGTATTTCCTGCATAGAATCAGCATTTTAACATGCCCTCTTATAAACACTGCAATACTATGTGTACGACAGAAATACTATTAAAAGTAAATGAGTTGTACTCACTGAGTTGTGGTGAGTAGCTGCCATCCTGAATTCTGAAATCTCCCACTTTCTGACACGGAATTCCCATGCACGACATTTATTATGGGATGACAAGTATCTTTCACCTTTTAAATGTGTTTATTTTGTTTCATTGAATCATAAATTTAAAGTTTACTCTTGATATAAAGACCATTTTCATATTAAATTGAGTAAAAAAAACAATTCTGGGGCCTTTTTTGTGGGTGACATTTGTCACCGTGGGCCTTGAGTTTGACACGTGGTTTAGAGTATTCATGCTACTTGAACTTTTCCACATTTTGTCACGTTCCAACCAATAACTTCAACATATTTTACTAGGATTAGTAGTGCAGAATTGTAAAGTGGAAAGAAAGTGTAACATGGTTTTCATTTTTTTTTTTTTACAAATAACGAACTGAAAAGTGTAGTGTGCATTCATGTGCATTTTTGAAAAGATAACATGAATAACATATTGCAAAAAAAAAAAAATCACTCCTACTCTGCTGAGATGAACAGTAGTTGAGATATTTGCATGTGAAGTAACAGGAAGTGATGTCAAAGGGGACTATCTCAAAGTAGACAAAGCTTTGCTACAATGGTTGACAACAAATCTGATGTTTCTTTAAATTATTTTGAGCCACTATCAGAGAGATGAAGAGTCGGAGCTCAAATAATATTGTTTCAAAGAACAAAGACCAGAGAGTTCTGTTTCGTAAAACGTTCCCCTTTGATGTCACTTCCTGTTTCATTTAGGCCGAGTTCAAAAGAAAATATTCCAGTAATGTTACAAACTGGGTAAAATCGTGTATTATGCCAAGTTTCTTAAACATAAAGATGTTTTTTTGGACTTTTTGTAATTGAAGGAAATGCATGTTACAGGCAATTTAAGAAGCCCAACGTGTTTTGAAACACGTGCGCTCATTTGTGCGTGTTTCTCTTCTTCCAAAGCACCAGGGAGAAGTCCAGCAAAGACAACATCGTGGTGGAGATGAAGAGCGACAACACGGAGGAGGCCATTCTCCTTGGCGTTAACGGAGAAAAGCAACGCGGTGACCAGGTAAAAATCTTTTCACGCTGATCTGATAGCTGCACTTTGATAATTATATGTCGTGTACCTCCTTCCATATTTCTCACCGCGTCCATGTTTCCTATCTGAAGTAAAAGAGCGCCGMGTTCCAGCACGTGCAGAAGTAAGGAGGCAACCGCAGACGCACCGACAGCTGCTCCTGTCTCTCCCCTCTCAGGCCTCGCACCTGGCCTCCAAGCCTCCACCACAGCTCCCGGACCTCCAGTCTTATGTCACGGAAATCATGTCCGCTGACATGGCTTCGGATGTTTTTTTTTTCTTCAAAGCTGAAGCTTTAGCTCGCTGTCCTTCACACCATTTCAAGCTTTAATAGTACATAATTATTCCAGCTCCATCACTTAACTCTGCTGAAAAAAAGCAAAAAACCAAATGTTTTGCCTACAAACCAAAGACAAACTTTTGACTGTAACTCGCGAGCCTTAGAAACTGCTGACTGTCCACAGAGCAATGTTTTGAGCACAATGCTGACAGGGACTGTTTTTATATATGAATTAGCATCACCTCAGGCAAAAGCAATCACTGAAGAAGCTCAGTTGGTATGTATATATCATAATCTATGTGTGTATATATATATATAAATATATATATTTCTTTATTTAAAATAATAGCATAAAAAACAACCCCAAAAAAATGACCAGATGGTGTTTTATTTTTGAGTTTTTGTGGAAAAAGGAGAGCTAGAACAATGAACTTTATTCGTTTGTATTTTGTTCTGTTTCAGTCTGCACACTGAACGTTTATTTTCAGACGCCTCACCTCTTCTCTTCAGTCACAAACCTGCAAGTCATTTAAACAAATATTTTACACTTTTCCTTACTTTTGCTCCAACTCTTTATTTACAGTTTATCTAGTTTAAAGAAGGTTGATGTTGAGATTGATKAACCATTTGTGACAGTTTTAATGTTTTTGTGACTTGAAGCATTGGGTGAAAAGTCAAGCCATAATGTTGCAGATGCCTTAGAAATGACATTCAAAGCTTTGCAGAAACTCCACATTTTGTATTGTTTAGTTTTATTTGTATTTATTTTCTGTGCACTGATGTTTTTTTTGGTAATAATTCATTCAGTTGTGTTGTTTCGTGTAAAACAGATGATTTCTGTTAATGTATATYAGTGTTCTTCTTTACTCTTAGTTTTTTCTAAATCTGTTTTTTAAAAAGCAGGATGAAGGCAGACCATAATCACAGCATGAAGTTGTCCTTGTTGCGAGGTGAAGACACGTTTCTGTTAAATGAAGTCACGTCATCGACTGAAACGTGAGATACAGAAWCCCCCTCGGACCCCATGCCTTAAACTGCATTTAAATGTTGAACTTTCCACAGTATTTGACTACTGAGGAGGGGGAAATGACTGTGACTCAACGTTACTGAGGTCTGGAGACAATCACGCCATTAAATGCTTCCTTTCTTTCTGTTTTTAACAAATGTTAACTGTTTTAGAATGTGTGAAAATGCCTTTTGAAGCCTTGGAGATATAAAGTATACTGCAATTACCAACAAACCTGTTGTCTCGAGTTTTTGAGAAATCCTGCCAAAGAAAGTTAAATGATCAAATTATGTTTTCATCTTAAATTAGGAGCTYAACATATTAAAGAATGCAATAAATAGCAATAAAGCAGTTAAAGATAACCGCTTCTGTCACTTGGTTGTGGGCTGGGGTGGGGCATGTCGAATAAAACTGACGATCAGTTTTGGATGTACATCCTAGGATTAATCCTTAAAGGTTTATTTTAAATTAATGCAGTGGTTCATGAGAYATTTTGCCAAACAGGCTTGTCTCCAATGACGATCACATAACTCTCAGCTGCAAATCCAGCATTTTTTTCTTTTAAGTCTGTTGGATTTAAAAGAAGATAATTGAAAATCTAAACTAAAGCATGTTTTTAATCATGCTCCTATGGATCTAAAYGTCAGTCCATTTCCTGAAGAATCTACAGATTTATTAGGTTACATGACTGTTTAAGACAACTTGATCTGCTGAAGGCAGAAGACTAATCACATTGTGGTTTTTAATGTAGTAGGAGTGCAAGTCGCTTCAATATCTTCTGATATATGAAACAAAAACACCACCAAAGGAATGAAGTTGCCGTTTGGACCACCTGAAGTGTCGCAGGTGGGCTGCAGGATATCTGCTGCGATGTTTAGTTTAGTTATGAATCCTCAGTTCCACGTGATCAGAAGGAGTTCTTTGGATAGTTTTAACATTCTTTGTCTACGACCCAAATAAGCAGATATTTTAAACTCCAAATAGAGCAAAAAATACAGCAGTTAATCACGTTACATATCATGCAAAATCAACTTTTTTAATGTGATGTTGATCTGAGACTCCTCAGATGTTTCTATAAACCCCAACTGAATGATTTACGTGTGAAAGAGGATTTAAAAGCACGATGTCTCCTTTAATGTTCAATAAACATACGTGAGAATTGACGCTTTTGTTGACATTTTATTAACGGCAATGTGCATACTTCCAAATTGATATGAGCTTTAAAAACCATCAACAACAACGAAAAGAATGCCTTTTACTGAGGAGAATAAAATGCAGAAACACAGAACAACAGCCCCCTCTGCTGGCAGAAAATTAAAATACCCTAACAGGATGGACAGTGAATGAGGGGGCATTAAGAGGGATTCGAGCATGATTCTGAGGTTGTGGAGAGAGGATTAAAAAAACAAAACAAATCGAACAAGCATGAAAATGTTTCACAGATGAGGCCTGATGTGGCTGAAGAGGCAGAGGACARAATAATGCCAACATTACTGCACAATCTGTCCTACAGAGATCGATACCGACAAACACTTTCCTATAATCAAGGCGATTTTTCCCCCTAAAAATATATAATAAAATTCAACGGTAAGGACCTTGGTGAGAAGCTCTTGATGTATGGCACAGGTCATGGAAATTAACAAAAAAAGTAAACTTTGGAACAAAAATACATTTACAGGAATGCAACATGAAATCAACCTTTTTCCCCCCTCTCCTTTTTGTTTCAACTTTATACAGTTTGCTTTTCTTTAGAGTGACAGTATCAAAGCACAAATTGGTATGCTGTGCAAAAAAATAAAAGGTTTTTAATACATGAGAATGACACGCTGCTCTCAAACATTAAAACATTGATACAGTATCGAGGATCGCAGACTTCCCTGTTCATCATCACCCATCATTCCGAGTGTCTCAAGGCAACTAGGAAGAAGAAAAAAAAAAAACTAAAAGCGGATGGCAAGACAGCAAAGAGATAGCAACACAGCATCAGCTGGRAACAACTGACACTCCACCTAAAAGAACATCTCCCCCCCCAAATATTAAAACTATTAAAACATAAAACATTCTTCATATACTGGGAGAGGCTCAAGTTATGTACCTAAAAGCTGCTTGCAGAAATTTATTCGTTCCATTCATAGTACCTGGAAATAAAGCTGTTTCTACTCATGCCGACACCAGAAACAATACAAAACAAGTGCAAGAAACAACGTGAACAATAAGTCATAAGCCATTTGTGTGGCCTCATGAAGCAGATACAGCGGGTAAAATAAGTATTGAACACGTCACCATTTTTCTCAGTAAATACATTACTAGAGGTGCTAATGACATGAAATTTTCACCGGATGTCGGTAACAACCCAAGTGATCCATACATACAAAGAAATCA